TAAAAACATCCGCAACTTGATCACTGGTCCCCACAAACGATGGAGTAACAAGACCACTGCTGACCTTCTCCCGAAGAAAGTGAACATCGATCTCTATATGCTTCGTTCTCTCATGTAGTACAGAGTCAGAAGCGAGCTGAATAGCAGATTGATTATCACAATATAATGTGGATGGAGAGGTCACTGAAAAACCCAACTCGTCAAGAATCGATCGTAGCCAGATAATCTCACATGTGTCAAGTGCCAATGCCCGATACTCTGCCTCTGCAAACGAGCGGGAGACAACTGTCTGCTTCTTGCTCTTCCAAGAGATAAGATGAGTCCCTCGAAAAGCACAGAAACCCGTAGTAGATCGACCATCACATGCTCTCCCATAATCTGAATCTGAATAACAGGCTAGAGAACCGGTCTGAGATCCTGATGCATAAAACAACCCAAGTCCAGGACAAGACTTGAGGTACCGAAGAATATGATAAACTGCATCAAGATGAGGCTGACATGGCCTATGCATGAACTGACTAACTCGGCTGACTGCGAATGAAATGTCCGGCCTAGTATTGGCTAAGTAGATAAGTCTACCTACCAATCTTTGATAAACTGTCGGATCTTTCAACTCCTCACCTTCAGCAGTAAGCTTCAGGTTTGGAATCATAGGTGATAATGCCGGTTTGCACCCCAACATCCCAGTGTCTGAAAGAAGATCCAAAACATACTTTCTCTGAGAAAGAACAATACCTCTGCTTCTACGGGCAACCTCAATCCCAAGAAAGTATCGCAGAAATCCAAGATCCTTCACATCGAAGGCCTTCCCAAGGTCTATCTTGACCTGCGCAGTCCCAGAAACATCATCACCAGTAATAATAATATCATCAACATATACCAGAAGGATGACACACTGTCCAGAAGTATTCCGTCGAATAAAGCAGGTATGATCAGAATGACACCTGGTGAACCCCAATCGTATGACTACATCACTGAAGCGAGAGAACCAGGCTCGTGGCGACTGTTTCAGTCCATAAAGAGACTTACGCAGTCGACATACCTTTCCAGCATACTCCCCCTCACCACGAAAGCCCGGTGGTGCATCCATATAAATAATCTCGTCCAGATCACCGTGAAGAAACGCATTCTTCACATCTAATTGATGAAGAGGCCAAGAGTACTCCGCAGCCAGAGAAATAATTAACCGAACAGTAGTCAATTTTGCCACGGGGGCAAATGTAGCACCAAAATCACGACCTGGTACCTGAGTAAAGCCCTTCGCCACAAGTCTAGCCTTGTAACGATCAATAGTACCATCCGCAAGAAACTTCAGGGTGTAAACCCAGCGACAGCCAACAGGCTTCACCCCTGAAGGTAAGGAGACAAGATCCCATGTATGATTACGCTGAAGAGCGTCCATCTCTGTCTGCATGGCAAGAACCCACTGGGGCTCCCGCATAGCTTCCGAAATAGAGCGAGGAACCAGCGTATCTGATAAGGCCATAGTATAAGCTCGAAATGTGGGAGACAGATTACCATAAGAAACATAAGCAGAGATCGGATATAAAATCTTGGCGGTCCAACCATATCGATCAACTGGACGGCGATCACGCCTTGGATAACGACGCCCTAAATCACCATCCTCTACTGATAATATCTTATCAGGTAAAGTAACTGGCTCAGCACCTGTAATCTCATCAGTACTAACAACAGGTGCATCAATATGCTCAACAAACTGAGAAGTATTACCTGCATCGCCTGAGGTAGAGGGGATATCAGCAGGGTGATGAGAGCGAGGACAACGAGCATACACCTGCAAAGGAAGAGAGACTGGTAACTCTGTACTGACAGGGATGAGTGACTCCTTTGGAGGAAAAATGGATGACCCTGTAGGGATAGTGATCAATGACTCTGACTCTTGTGGTAATGGAAAATCAAAGGGAGTATCATCAACTGGAGGGGCAGACAAAGGACTGAAAGGAAAATAAGGAATATGCTCAAGAAAGGTAACATCTAGACTGTGATACATACGACGCCTAATAGGATCATAACATCGATACCCCTTAGATTGATGACAATAGCCCACAAAGATACAACGAATCGCTTTATCATCAAGTTTATGACGAGTAGGAGACCGATCCTGAACAAAACATGTGCATCCAAAAACACGAGGGGGGACCGGAAAAAGTGTCCGCTCAGGAAATAAGACCTGTAAGGGAGCCTTATGCTGAAGAACACGACTCGGCGTACGATTGCACAGAAAGGTAGAAGTCAAAACAGCAAAATGCCAATAAGATTTTGGTACCCTCATGCCTCTAAGCAGACAACGTACCATCCCTATCAAACTCCTATTTTTCCTCTCAGCAACACCATTTTGCTCAGGAGTATATGGACAAGTGAGTTGCTGAAGGATACCCTGAGAAGAAAGGTGAGACACTAAAGCATCAGACACATATTCTTTGGCATTATCCGAACGAAGAGCACGAACAATGACATCGAATTGTGTCTTAATCATCTGTAAAAACTGAGTGATTATAGGGAGCACATCAGACTTCCTATGCAAAAGGTAGACCCAAGTACAACGGGTATGATCATCTATAAATGTCACATAATATCTGGCACCTGACAGAGCAGTAACGGGAGAGGGTCCCCAAATATCAGAGTGTATTAGGTCAAATGGCTTGGGTGACTGGTGCATGCGAGGAATATAATTGGCCCTAACATGTTTTGATAGGGAACAGATAACGCAATCAAGTTTACCACCAACACAAGCATTACTCAAAGCAGGAAACAACATACATAAATATTTAAAATTTGTATGTCCAAAACGGTCATGCCACAATTGAACAGTTTGTGACAAAAAATCATAACGACAACTACTAGGTAAAATACTAGCATGCAAGCTAGGAACAGAAAAAGACAAAGCAGGTGCAGGTGAAGGAATTGGTGAAACTGGAGATGGATTGCCAAGATAATACAGTCCATCTTTCTCATGTCCCTTGATAATAATCCTCCTGGTACTCAGGTCCTGCAAATAACACGAATCAGATAAGAATACAACCGCACAGTGAAAATCTCTGGCTAACTGATGTACAGATAATAGATTCATGGCCAACTTTGGCGCATGAAAAACCGAATGTAATGTAAGGCCATCTGGGAGACGGACTGTACCCCTACTAACAATAGGGGCATGTGTTCCATCTGCTAACTGAACCTGTGTATGTAATGGCTCGTCAAAAGTGGTGAAGTGATGGGTCTCACCTGTCATGTGACCATTCGCACCCGAGTCCAACATCCAAAGGGGAGATGAACTGGCACAAGCGTGAAAGGCACGAGATATACCTGTAGTGGTGACAGCAGCAGTAGTCAGACTCTGAGAAGTCAGAGCAGACATAAGTATATCTAATCGGAAAGTGATAGCATCCATATCACTTTGCCAAGGAGGAGCAGTAGCAGGAGTGGCGGTAGTGGGCGGTGGTACCTCAGCAATAGCAACAGTACGGCTGCGAGAAGGTGGCTTAAGCTCTGGATGGAGCTTCCAGCAAGTAGCCCTGAGATGTCCTGGTCGGCCACAATAATCACATTGACGGGAATCCCCCCGTCTGCGCTGATCTGGGGCGCCCTGACGGCGCTGGTCTGAGCGTTGCCTATCCCTGACTAAGGATCCTGAACGGGACCCTACAGCAGCTGCAAGGGCCATCTGGTCAATCGAAGGAGGCAAAGCTGCAACTGGAAGTGATGCAATACGGACTCGACGCTCATGCTGCTCAATCATCCCATACACCTCATAAAGAGAAGGAAGTGTCAACATCGACAAGATCTGAGAACGAGGTCCCTCAAACTCATCACGAAGCCCCATAAGGAACTTGTGAATCCTATCCTCCTGCTCTCGAGTATGCAAGAATGTTGCTCCCTCGGGCTCTATCTTCGGAATAGCAGCAAGAGGACGTAGAGACTCATACTCAAGCCAGCGCTGGGTCAAATAGCCATAATAATCCTAAACGGTCATATATCCCTGCCGAGCATATGAGAGCTTCTGAGAAAGCTCATAAACACGAACTCCCCGTCCTGACTGAGAATACATCTCTGATAATGCGCTCCATAGCTTCGGAACAGAGCTATGAAACTGGTGGATCCTGCAAACAGAGGGCTCCATTGAGTCAAATAACCATCCAAGAATGGCACAGTTTTCAGAGAACCATGCAAAATATCCAGGGTCGGCATCAGCTGGCTTTGGGTGAGATCCCGTCAGCCAACCAAGCTTCCCTACATGGCCTAAGAAAAGCTGGAATGAGCGTGACCACTCAGCGAAGTTACGACCATTCAACAATTGTGCCGTAACTTTTTGAGAGATCATGCCCGATAATACTGGTAATGCAACTGTGCTAGTAGGCACTGTATACTGGTCAAACATAAAAGTGGAAGTACCCATAGATGTCTCAACGGTAGAGGTGTCAACAGTAGGGTTCTCAAGTCCCTCAGTAGTAGCCATATCAACAACAATACTAGGGCACCCGTGACAGAAAAATAACTCTAAGATAAATAGAGGAATAAAATAAGGGAGACAATATACCTTCAGTCGAACAGTAGCGACAAATAGGAAAGGTCCAAAAAGCTCTCAAATAATCAAGTCACGGTGCCCAGAAATCCAAAATATATAAATAAGTGATCTACTGCATCAAGAGCAAATCAACAACCCCTCATAAAAAATCCTAGATATAACAGTGGGTTAGGTTTAGTATATGTTTAATGGGCTGAGGCAATACTGGGCAGTGGGCTGCTTGGTATGTTTGTGTTGGGTTAGTGAACAATATTTAAGTTCACTAGGATAGTTTTTTAGGTCGGAGAATTTTGGTGGTCTGTGGACAGTCGGTGCTGCTTCGTTGGTTAGACGGAGTGAGGTATGTCGTTGGACTTTAGTTTTTAGGGTTGTCGCTGGACGGGGTCAATGGGTGATCATTAAGGTTGTTGGGTATTTTAGGATTGAGGCAGAGGGTTGATTTGTCGGTGATGGGCAGTCGCCTGGTCTGGTTCGGTTCACTCACGAAACTTCGGTTCTGAAGGAATGGTTTTGGTGAAACCGTCCAATGTATTGAGTCCTCCCGGGAGGGACTTTATTATCTCCTCGGTGAAAGCAAGATATCTTCCGCGGGATGGTTTGGAGTTGAGTGGGTTTGTCGGCAGGTTATTGGCTGGGTCTTGGTGGGTATTGTTTATCGGTGGCTGGTATGTGGGTTCTGTCGGTGGGGCTGCTGGGTTGATGCAGGCTGTGGACTTTGGGGGCAGTCTCAGTCGGTGCAGGTTGGGCTGCTTGGTTGTTTTGCCGGGTACTGTCGATCGGTTGGGTTGATGCAGGCTGTGGGTAATTGTGGCAAGACTGTGTAGCAGAGGTAGACGATGGAGTGGAGGCTATAGCGTTGTTTGGTGGAGGCTAATGTTAGAATTAGGGTTAGAGTTAATGGCTCTGATACCAACTTGAGATAGTTGTGAATGAAAAGGGAAAAGAAATCCTAATAAACCTAGACTATCTATACTCCAACACAACCAAGTAACAAATTAAAGTGCAGCAAAAAAAAACAGAGATGAAAATTTTATTCCAAAAATCATCTCATTTTCCTATGGAGAAATCAGAAAATTGGTTCAAGAGACACATACCAGTCTCATCTCTTCTCATTCATTTCCTCTCACACTGCCAATATGTTCACAAACCTGCAACACACACACACACACACACCAATTAATCACTCAATTCAACCAGAAATAAGAAAAGAAAAAAAAATTAACATTTGATGATACCTAAAATAAATTCCAAGTGCTAAGCTCAGGAGGTCAGACACATTAGCAGAGGTCAGAGGGTAAGGGCCGAGTGTCTCTTAAGGCAAGATAACAACTGGATAACCACGAGAGGATCCTAAAGCGTTAGGAAGCTGTAATCAAGGCACCCAATCTCAACCAACCAAGATCTTCTCCAAGAATTAAGGAGAAGCCCACAAAATAAGGGCAAGAATCTTGGCTAAGATCCTTCTTAGCAGGGAATGACCTTATAAATATAAGGTAACACCCCCTAACAAAAAAAAAGACCCGAGTGGCAAAAAAGAAGTCATAGCAACCTTGTAATCACCGTGAATAAAAAAAAAGGAGCAAGAGCCTCCATTCCAGAGTGGACTAGCTGAGCTCCTAAGTTAGTGAACCACTATAATTCTGTTGTCTTAACTTCCAAAGCCCTGGATATTATGGCATCATCTTAGCAACCTAACGTAATCTCAGCTCATCTTTTGTAAAAGTGCGTTAACGCCATCAGTTTGGCGCCGTGTGAGAACGACTGTTCCTGTTACAAATAAAGCTGATTTTTCAGTGACTGATGGTATCAACACGAAATATGAGCCGAAGTCAGACCAATCCTCTACGGATGCAAGATCAATAAGAAGCCGCAAATAGTAGACAACCCGAAAATGCACAAGAAGTTGATCCCCCCATGGGGGGCCTTCCCATGAATAATGAGATGGAGGTCATTCGTCTTGTCAATGAACGTCTGATAGAACGAATAACTCTTAAAGCTCCTACAACACCCACAGGAGGCGCGACCGGCCCAAGGAAGTGCAAAGTCAAACCTTGGGGCAAAAACCTCGCCTACCCCCTAGGAATGGTCACAACGAGAAAGTGCAAAGTCAGTATAAGGAAGGGAGAGGAGTGACTTCTTCCCTTATCAACAGGAGAAAAGAGAACACCATTGGGAGCAACGTTTCAAAGACATCCAGCAAGAGCTCAGCCAAATGAAGGAGACAGTGAAAAGCAAAGCCTCAGTCACTATGGATACCTTGGTGCAGCAAATTGAATCCCCATTCACTGCTGGGGTACTGCACTTCCCTCTCCCACCTAAATTCAGAATACCGTAGGTGAATGATTTCGATGGGACAAAAGATCCCGTGGACCACCTCAACACCTACAAAAACCAAATGGAGTTGCATGGATATCAAGATCCAGTGAGATGCAGGGCCTTTGCTATCACCCTAAAGGGCTCAACCTTAGCATGGTTCAACAGACTCCCCCCAGCCTCGATTTTCTCTTTTGAAGAGTTATCAATCTCGTTTGTGTCCCACTTCTTCAGAGCTTGGACCTATAGGAAACTGAGCTACCATTTGTTAAATGTGAAACAGGGACCTGATGAGAACCTATGGTCTTATGTCCAACGGTTCAACTCAGAATCCTTGAAGGTGGATGTCCCAGACGAAAAACTTACTATTACAGCCTTCATAGTAGGTCTAGGAATTCAGTTAAAAGATCTGATATTTTCCATCTCAAAGAACCCCTAGGCTAGTATGGCGGAGGTGCTTGCCAAAGCAGAAAAGTAAATAAATTGTGAGGAAGCGCTCCTCTCCAAGGTCGGGAGCCCTTCGTCGAGAAAGGAAAAAGGGAAGGAAGAAAAGAAGAGAGAACAAAGTCCCAGAAAGGAAAGAGAATGAGGCAGGTCTCCAAGAAGAGACAGAAAGCGTTCCCGAAAAGAAGAGAAAATGTCAGAGATCGTCTCAGCCCTCCACAACCAGAGCTACAACTAAGGTATGCACCCCGGCAGCTCACCCTCCTGACTGCTACGGTGTCTCAGATACTGTATGAGGTGCAAAATGAGAAGTTCTAAAGGTGGCCACCCCAGATGAAAGCAGACTCGACAAAAAAGGATCCTACAAAGTATTGTGACTTCCATAGAGACCATGGTCATCACACCAACGACTGTATCCAATTGAAGAATGAAATAGAATTTCTAATCCAACGAGGGAAGCTACGACACTATGTGGTCAATAATAATCAAAATCGAACTCTCCCACCTCCACCCCATCAGTGTCAAGCACCAGAGCCACAGCAGCAACCTATGAGGGAGATCAGAGTGATATCTGGAAGATTTACCGGAGGAGGAGGGTCCAGCTCTGCCAGAAAGGCCCACTAGCAAAAAATCAGAGAAGCTCCCGAAGTATATACTGTGCCTAAGTCTCCAAGCTTAGACACGACTATCACTTTCTCAGATTCAGATCTGGAGGGCTGCCAACATCCCCATGATGACCCTTTGGTGGTAAGAGCTATGGTGGCCCCCAGGACTGTCCATCGTGTTTTGATTGACAATGGCAGCTCGGCAGACATCATTTTTGCTTCTGCTTTCGACAAAATGGATATAGGAAGAGAAAATCTTGAACCAGTAAGTGTCCACCTATTGGGATTCTCAGGAGAAAATGTGTTATCCCTGGGGTCAATCCAATTCATCTTGACCTTAGGTGACCCACCCTGTCAGACTACAATAAGTGTGAAATTTTTAGTGGTTGATGCACCTTTAGCATACAATATGCTCCTTGGGAGACCCTCTCTCAAATTCTATAAGGGTTATTCCCTCCACCTATCACCTTGTAGTGAAGTTTCCAACAAAAAATAGAGTTGGAGGGGTCCGAGGAGACCAGCACGTAGCACGGGAATGCTACATGGCATCTATGAGAAATAAGGAGGTTGAGAGTATCCAATTGGATGAGCTTGACATGAAGGATGAACTCGAGACCAGGCCAACACCATCAGAAGAACTGGAACCTGTTCAAATTGATGAGTAGATAGAGGATTTGTTTACGTTGGATCCAAGCTGAGCAAGGAGATCAAGGATCTCCTCATCCAATTCCTAAAAAGGAACAAGGAAGTTTTTGCATGGAAGCAAGAGGACATGAAAGGGATTGATCCCTCTGTCATCCCTTACAAGCTCAGCGTGAATCCAGCCTATAAGCCTGTTAAGCAGAAGAGGAGGAGTTTTGCCCTAGAGCGTCAGAAAGCCATCAACGAAGAGGTCAGCAAGCTCCTTCACGCGAAAGCCATTCGAGAAGTGAATTTCCCACTCTGGCTAGCCAATGTAGTCCTAGTCAAGAAGACAAACGGCAAATGACATCTTTGCATTGACTTTATAGACCTCAAATGTGCTTGCCCGAAAGATAATTTTCATTTACTCTGGATAGATTTGATTGTAGATGCCACTGCAGGACATGAGCTCCTCAGCTTCATGGATGCCTTCTCTGGGTACAATCAGATTAGGATGAATTCCAGTGACCAAGAGAAGATCGCATTCATAACTGAGCAAGGGACATACTGCTATCAAGTGATGTCTTTCGAGTTAAAAAATGCAGGAGCCACTTACCAACGCCTGGTGAATAAGATGTTTCAAAAATAAATTGGGACCTCCATGGAGGTCTATATTGACGACATACTAGTCAAGTCACTGAAGGCAGAGCTCCACATTGAACACCTAGCATAGTTGTTTCAGGTCCTGAGAGAATACAAGATGAAGTTCAACCTATCTAAGTGTGCCTTTGGGGTGTCAGTAGGAAAATTTTTGGGTTTCATAATTAATAGCAGAGGGATAGAGGCTAACCTAGAAAAGGTAAAAGCAGTGTTGGATATGCAGCCTCCCTCCAACACGAGGGAAATACAGCGTTTAACCGGGAGAATAGCTGTCCTAAGTCGCTTTGTTTTCAGATCAAGTGACAAGTGTTAGCCCTTCTTTCAAGTCTTAAAGAAAGCCTTTCAATGGGATGCTAGGTGTGAAGAAGCCTTCAAAGCATTGAAAGAATACTTGAGCTCCCCACCTGTCTTGGTAAGTCCGTTAGAAGGAGAACTACTTACCCTTTACCTGGCTGTCTCAGAGTTTTCAACCAGCGCAGCGCTAGTAAGGGAGAAGGATAGAGCTTAGCAACCAGTTTACTACTGCAGTCGAGCTCTGAGGGGGGAAGAAGAAAGGTATCCTAAAATGGAAAAACTCGTTTTAGCCTTAGTGACAACCGCCAGGAGACTTAGACCCTACTTCCAGGCTCATACTATCGAAGTCCCAACATATCAACCTATTAAGCAGGTGCTGCACAAGCCAGAATCTTTGGGGAGACTGGTTAAATGGGTCGTTGAACTTAGCAAGTTTAACATCAGATACAAGCCAAGGACAGCCATTAAGGCACATATATTGGCAGATTTCATTGTAGAATTCATAACTGGGATACCTGCAGAGACAGCATAGTTAGTACCTGACCTCTCCACATGGAAACTTTCAGTAGATGGAGTTGTCAATGCTCAAGGCAGTGGAGCTGGTTTGATTTTGACTTCCCCCGATGAGATAGATGTTGAATACGCACTAAGATTTGAATTCAAAATTTCAAACAACGAAGCCGAGTATGAGGCAATCATAGCAGGGCTCATCTTAGCTCATTCAATGGAAGCCGAGCAATGGAGATCTGCAGTGACTCATAACTTGTGGTAAAATAGATAGAGGGTGCTTACGAGGCTAAGGGTGAGAAGATAGCCCTTTATCTTAGAAAGGTGCAAGAATTGATCAATAAA